GTTAGAGCATCATCCCGATACACCAAGGTTTCAGGTTCAATCCCCAGTCAGAAGAAGTCGAACTAATTTGATTAGCGAGAATCAATCAATGAGTGCATAAGTAAGTGGAACAACAAGTCGATGTTTTTCTCTCAAACCCTCCCTTCCCCCTCTCTTTCTCTCTCTCAAATCAATTTTACAATTAAACTTTTGACAAGGGTTGCAAGGAAATTCTCACTTAAGCTTCAGTGAGCCACAAGCACTTAAAACTCATGAACCTTCAGCTGGTCATCCTTAGCCAGTCCAATCTCTACGAGGAATTGGCATATGTTCTTGTACTGGTCCTCCTGTAGCTGAATTACTTATCTGTATCCTGGATGCTCAATTACAGTAATATTGCAGACAAATTTCTTCTTAAACACCTTCACTAGTTTCTTTTTATCGTAATCATCAGTGATCCCTTGGACAGTAGTAAGGGTCTTCCTGCCGTTTCTCTTTTGAATTCTTATATGGACATAATCCTCTGTGCCAGCAGGAAGCAGATATTCACCCTTACTTGCATCAGCAAAGGGGTTGAAAGAGTGGAGGCTCTGGATAGCAAACACCTAATATGATCTCTTTTCCTGGGGGTGGGGGAAGCAGGAGTGGGGGACTGGGTGAAAACGGTGAAGGGATTAAGAAGTTATAAAATTAGTTTTAATTGCCAGTTATAAAAATAGTCATGGGAATGTAAAGTACAGGATAGGGTATATAATCAATAATATTTTGTGTATGGTGTCAGATGGGTAGTAGACTTACTGGGGTGATCACTTTGTAAGGTATATAAATGTCTAATCATATGTTGTACACCTGAAACTAAAATAATATTGTATGTCTACTGTAATTGAAAAATAAAATTAAAAAATAATTCTTTTGAAAAGAGATTATTTCCAGAAGAATGCACAAATAAATAAAGCAATCCCATACTAAATGTTAGTGTAATTTTTGAACCAATTAATTTGTCCATCCATTCATTGTACAAACATGTATTAAATGCCTAATTCTTAAGGGAGTACCAATGATATTTTATGTTTAATGTGTTAACTCTATATTCACTATTAGAAATAGTAAATATAGACCCCTCCTCCTTATATAGAGCTTACTAGAGGCTCGGTGCATGAATTCGTGTACAGATGAGGTCCCTCGGGATGGCCTGCGGGGATTGGGCCCCAGCTCGTGCCCCCAGCCTCACAACCCAGCCGTGGCCTGGCGCCACCCCCTCACCTGCTCCACCATCCTGCCTGCGAGAGGATCAATTGGGGCCAGGCCCCCCACCCAGCTCCCTCAGCACCTAGGAGCCAGGGGGTGGCCCCGCCCCCCTCCACTGGTCACCATCTGTGGGGCAATTGGCAGGGCAATTGGGCCCCTGCTCACGCTCGCACCCGCCTTGGCCTGGCACCGCCCACTCACCTGCTCCACCATCCCGCCACGGTCCCACTCTCATCGGGGCCCATTGGTGCCAGCAGCGCCTCCACTGCTGCCCGATGCCAGCGCTGCATTGCCAATGCCCGCCATGTTCCGCACCACCCCCTGGTGGTCAGCACACATCATAGCAAGCAGTCGAACTCCCGGTCAAACTCCTGGTCAAACAATTTGCACATTAGACTTTTATTATATAGGATATTTCACATAGTGCTCTCATATACCTCTGTTATGATACATAATCTTTAACTTTTTAATTACTTTTTTTTACCTGAAATTAGTTCGATTTTAACTTTTTTAAACAGAATGGGAAAGTGTTCACATTTGGAGACAATTGCTTTGGACAGCTGGGACACAGCCCCACTGCTAAGAAGAGTGGTCCACAAGAAGTGGAAAGAATTGATGGCCTAGTTTCACAGATAGATTGCGGAAGGTAATAAGCTTCTTTCTTTCTTTCTTTTGTTTGTATGTGTGTGTGTGTGTGTGTGTGTGTGTGTGTATATACACACACACACACACACACACACACACACATACAAACAAAAGAAAGAAAGAAAGAAGCTTATTACCTTCCGCAATCTATCTGTGAAACTAGGCCATCAATTCTTTCCCGGGGATGTCTGGGACCTCTTGCTCCTTACTGCCAGCCTACAGCAGAGGCAGGAGAGACTCCCACCACTGCCACTACGCTCACCAGCCGTGAGCCTGGCTTCTGACTGAGCAGCGCTCCACCTGTGGGAGCGCACTGACCACCAGGGGCAGCTCCTGCATTGAGTGTCTGCCCCCTGGTGGTCAGTGCACGTCATAGTGACCAGTCGTTCCACCGTTTGGTCGATTTGCATATTAGTGTTTTACTATATACTAGAGGCCCGATGCACAAAATTTGTGCAAGGGGCTCGGCCCTTGCAGCCGTGGTGGCTGCCTCAGCCCTCACAGCCCCGGCTTCATCTAGAAGGTTGTCCGGAAGGATGTCTGGAAGGTCGTTCAGCTGTCTGGTCTAATTAGCATATTATGCTTTTATTATTATAGACTAGAAGCCCAATGCACGAAATTTGTGCAAGAGTAGACCTTCTTACCCCTGGCTGCGGACACTGGCTTACCTCTGGCACCTGGGACCTGGGCTTCCCTCGCAGCCCCAGCTTCGTCCAGAAGGTCGTCCAGTCTAATTAGCATATTACACTTTTATTATTATAGAGAATATGACTTAGAAATGAGTCATATGGCCCTGGCCAGTGTGTCTCAGTTGGTTGGGTGTCGTCCTGTGCACAAAAAGTTTGCCAGTTCAATTCTTGGTCAGGGCATATGTGGAGTTGTGGGCTCAATCTCTGGTAGGGGGCATGCAGGAGGCAGCCAATCAATGTTTCTCTCTCACATCAATGTTTCCCTGTCTCTAAAAATCAAAAATCTTTTTAAAATATTTTTATTGATTTCAGAGAGGAAAGGAGAGGGAGAGAGAGACAGAAACATCAATGATGAGAGAGAACCATTGACCAGCTGCCTCCTGCACGCCCCCCCGCTGGGGGTCAAGCCCGCAACCCAGGCATGTGCCCCCGACCAGAATTGAACCCAGGGCCCCTCAGTTCACAGGCCAACACTCTATCCACTGAGCCAAACAGGCCAGGGCTCAAATAAAAATCTTAAAAAATAAATAAAAGAAAGAACTCATGTGGAATGTTATCAAAGCTTACAACCCTAAAATATGACAATTCTTTTTATAGATAATTTTCCTTTCTGAAATTTACTTTTTTCAAATATAGATTAATTTTTTCATTATTTTCTTTTTCACCCTAGGCATTTACTTAATAGGGATTATTTTGAAGTTTACTGTGTAGAGACCACCTAACTAGGTGCTGGAGGGTGGGGAGTGGGTGTATAACAAAAACAGTGGTACTTGGTAATCTCATGCTCATGCATGTAGAAGATAAAGAATATTTGCATGTATATTCAGAGTTTTGCATAAACTAGTTATGAGGACACTTTGAGTATCATTTACCTACTAATAATTCATAAAATAAAACACTTGCATTTAAAACACAAACTATAGAAACCGTAGTAAAGATCCATCAATTATATTCTATGTTTAAGGTTAGTAATGTTCACCTACCATTTGTTTAGCCACATCATTTGGTACCCTCTAACACTGACATTGTGATAAGGGATCTGTGTACTTAGAGTAAGATAAATGTGTGTGTGTGTGTGTGTGTGTGTATGTGTGTGAAGAGACATCATCTTTCTCAGAAAGCATGAGTATCCTGATCTTATGTATTCTCTCTCCTGCAGTTTCCACACCCTTGCGTATGTCTACACCACTCGTAGGGTGGTGTCTTTTGGTCATGGATCAAGTTGCACAAGCAGCCCACCTCATCCGGAGGCCCAAACGGAAAACTCTGACTTTAGCTGCCTGATTTCTGCTGATGGTATAAGTGGTCCCACTCACTCATGATTTTCTGTTAATTGATTTCACTGAGGAAAAATATGATTCAGCTTCTTCTCAAAGGAGTGCACAGAACTATGGTTCATCTAGTGCTATTATTATTTTTGTTTGTTTGTTTGTTTTAGTGCTATTATTTTTCATTTGTGCAATATGCATTTTTTCTTATGTAGTGATTCCTGGAGTATTTGATAACCTTTACTAAAGATTAGGTAATACAAAAGAAGATCCCAAATCAGTTACTTAAGCATCAGAGCAATACACTTTTACTATATATTTAATCAAACCTCTTATAAAGCACATTAGCCTGGCTTCATGACGCAAATGCATGAAAAATTAAATTTTCGGCCAAGTGAATATATGACATGTAACCTGTTCAAAATTAATCTTTTCTGCCGTTTGTAGTCAAAATCCATTTAGAAGATTATAAATTGCCTTTAAGGAAGTCAATTTAGCTTGGTAATAATCAGATTTTTTAAAGACTGTTTTTAAGAGACGTTTTAGATTTACACCAAAAGATTTATTTTTTTACTTATAAAAGCAATAAGCATGGATTTATCACTTTCTTTTAGACCTTGTGGGTGTTCAAGTCAAACACATTTTTGCTGGAACATATGCCAACTTTGTGACAACTTATCAGGTATCTATTAATGTTTCTTTAAAATCATTTTCCCTCTAGATTTCAAAGCAGTATTGTATCATTTGTATATATTCAAATTTCTTAGAATGCTTTTTTAAAATATTATGTAATTCTCACTTCCTCCTTTGGCTTCCTAATGATGAGACCCCCCCAAATGCATTGCTTTCCCACTAACTAATCCGAGTACTCCAAGTGGATCAACACATTGACTCTTCATATCAACTCCAGTTGGCGTTGTTTTCCTCCACGTTACATATGAAAACAACTGAGTCTCATAGAGGTGGACTCACCCAAAGTTGTGCTGCTAAGAAGTGGCAGAGCTGGATTCCAACCCTGGCAATCCAACCAGCTTCAGAGCTCACACCACTGTCCAGCATGCCAGTGCCTTCCTAACTGTTAACAGAGAGGATTTTACTATTTTATTTCCAGATGAGTTCTGAAATGTTTTGTGTGGAGACAAGCATACATAGCTGTTTTTCTAACTTGTACTTTTCTCTATTATCAGGGATGTTTTAAACTTGACATCCATATAGACCCTTACTATGTTGCCTGGGGCAGAAAATGGTGAGAGGCAAAGGTCTCTGTGTTGCTGGGCTAATCAGGAGATTGTTCTTGGTTGCTCTGTCATAGCCATTCAGTCAGCCAGTCAACAAACACCTCCTGTGTCTCTGGCTCAGCTCTTGGCACTTGAGATGAAAGTGAATAATACAAGGATTCTATTATTTGTATCCTAGAAGGTTGCCCTCATTCATGGTGTTTGGATTCTACAGAAAAGGAAAGATAATAAACATAGAAATGCAAAATAAGGTTTTGTTAGAGAGTGAGAGGTGCGCCGAAGAAAACCAAACGGGTCTTTTGAGGTGGGCTTCTTTAGAAATGTTAGTCAGAGAAGGCCTGGCAGAGGCGGTGACATTTGAGCAGCTTAGAAACAGAGAAAGCATTTCAGGTAGAGGGAACGACAGGTAGAAAGCCCTGGTGCACGAACACATTTACCTGTGTGAGGAACAGAAAGAAAGCCAGTCAGACAGAGCTTGGTAGGAAAGGATAAAGAATCATCTGAGATGGAGCCGGGGACGTAAGGCAAGGTCAGTTATGTGAGGTGGGGCCAGTTTGAAATGTCCTTGGAGAGGTGAACCGGAGTTTAGTTGGATGTCTGAATCTGGAGCTCAGAGAGGATGTCAGCGCTAGGATATAAACATGGGATCAAACCCTAGATGGGATCTAAGCCAGGGGCCTGGGTAAAAGGTCACCTGGAGGGAAAGTAAAAATGAAGAGAAGGGGACACCATCCAGGTTGGAGGGATTTCTCCATTTAGAAATCAGGCCGGGAGGAGGAGCCAGGAGAAGAGCCTGAGAAGGACCAGTTTCTGAGGTAGCAGAGAACCAGGGAGGGTGCCTCATCACGCCACAAGAAGAAACTGGTTCTAGAAGGAGGAAGTGGCCAATTCCGTCACATCCTGCTGAGAGGTGAAGTAAGATGAACACAGTGTTTGTTTTTGCTGTTAAGACTGAGTCATCTGGCAGGGGGCAGGGAGTTGATGACACCTGACTTAGTGGGATAGACAGAGAACAGGAGGGGAGCCAGTAGAAACCATGGCTGTGACAAGTCGGAGTTTTGTTGTGAAGGGGAGTAGAGAACTGTGGGAGGGTTTTGCTATTGTCTAGAGAGGTGATATTAAGGTATGTTTGTGTGCCAGTGAGAATGATCCATTTCATATGGAGAAAGTAATGCATGAGAAAGAGTGAATAATGGTCATAAATGCAGGGAGACATGCATGGTGAGGGCGGCTGCTACTGCCATACAGTGGGTAGAGGCCAGGGATGCTGCTCAACATCCTACAGTGCACGAAACGGCCCCTCACAGCAAAGAATTAGCTGACTCAGAATGTCAGAAGCATCGGTTTAGAAACCCTGATGGAGGGCATGACTGGCTGAGGTGGAGCAGAGGAAAAGACTGGAGATGAGATCAAGAATTGAGAGATCAAGGTGGGAAATAAATTGTGTTAATTCTGAAGTTGCCAAGAATGACAGGAAGAAAAATGACAGGCGTGGTGGTGCTGAGGAAGACAGTCAGCAAGGTACCAGAGTTGTCGATGATTGAAGGGTAGTGACTAGGACACTGGGAGATGATTGTAGAAGAAAGGGAGGCAGAGGATACAGTCTGATGTCATGCCCTTCGGAGGAGTCGGGATTTTGAAGTAGAAAGTAGAAGGAATGGTAAGTAGGTGCCTGTAGGGAGCAGGTTATTATCCCAAGGTTCCTGTGATATAAAAGGGGGGAAAAGCCTCCTCAGGATTGAACTGCAGGACTCAGATAAAGAAGCTGGAGGGAACTTTAGGAATTATGGTTACATATCTTCTTCAAAGGTCTTTATTTAAGCACTAGAGGCCCGGTGCATGAAATTCATGCAGGGGGGGGGGTGTCCCTCAGCCCAGCCTGCACCCTCTCCAATCTGGGACCCCTTGGGGGATGTCTGACTGCCGGTTTAGGCCCAATCCCACAATCCGGGACTGTTGGCTCCTAACCACTCGCCTGCCTGCCTGCCTGATTGCCCCCTAACCGCTCCCCTGCCGGCCCAGTGGCCCCCAACTATCCTCCCCTGCCAGCCCAATCGCACCCAACTGTCCTCCCCTGCAGGCCTGGTCGCCCCCAACTGCCCTCCCCTGCAGGCCTTGTCACCCACAACTTCCCTCCCCTGCCGGCCATCTTGTGGTGACTTGAGGGCATCGCGCGAGGGCACGAGGGCTACCTAGGCTTTTATTAGTATAGATTAAACAAAAGAGACCAACATTTCCTGACTCATTACAAGTTCAGTGGAGGCCAAGGTATAGTATGGAACAGAGTACTAGTGTATTTGGAATTCTATGTTATAAGACTGATTTTTCTTTCCAGACAGTGATTTCTGACATGTCTGGCTGAGCCATTTGGTTTCAAGTATTGTATAGAACCATGGTTCCCAAAGTGTGGTCCCCAAACCAGCAGCATCAGCATCAGCATCGCCTGGGAACTCACCAGGTGCATATTCTTGCCTCCACCCCTGACCTACTGAACCAGAAACTGTGGGGGATGGGCCCAGCAGTCTATGCTTTAACAAGATAACCAGGCGATTCTGCTGCATGCTGAAGTTTAAAAACTGTTGATATAAAAGTAAAAATCTGTGTCTTATTAAAGAGGAGAAAGAAACTAGTATTTATTGAGTACCTACTATAATATAAAGCTTTGTATACCTAATAATAAGATCCAAGGGATCTAGGTATTGGGTCTTATTATCTCATTTTTTATTGTGGTAATAATAATAATATATGTATATATATTACAAAATTTGCTATTTTAACCAATTTTAAGTGAACAGTTCAGTAGCATTAATTGCATTCCAATGTTGTAGAATGCAACTATCAACACTATCCATCTCCAAAACTTTTTCATCACTCCAAACAAAATCTGTAAACATTAAATATTAACTCCCCATTCCCTCATTACCCCCATCCCCAGGTAACCCCTAATCTACTTTTTGTGTATAATTTGCCTACTTCATATAAGTGGAACCATACAATATTTGTCCTTTCGTATCTGGCATATTCCACTTAGCATGTTTTCAGTGTTCATCCATGTTGTAGCATATATCAGAATTTCATTTCTTTTCATGGTTGAATAATCCATTGCATGTATATACAGCATTCATCTGTTGATGCTGTTTATGGACATGGGTTGTTTATGTCTTTTGGCTATTGCGAATAACGCTGCAATAATATTGGCCTACAAGTATCTGTTTGAGTTCCTGTTTTTAATATTTTGTATTATCCCATTTCTAGGTGCTAAATTAAGGCTCAGACCAAGCAAAGTAGCCAAAGCTAGGAACTGGACCAGACCAATCTGATGCTTTAGCTCCTCCCACCAAACCCCACTGCTTAAGAGGGCTGGTCCTATCTACAGCCTGTGCCACAAGCATTACCGGATTGCCTGTTACTCAGCATGTGTGTGTCTTTTCCTGATGGTTCTTTTATTTTTCTTCCTTGAAGGATACTGGTTCCACAAATGTTTCCAAGAAAACCTTGCCAGAAATAAGCCGAATTAACCAGTCCCGGACAGAACAGTGGATGGCAATGACAAGTGGAAGTAATGAACGTGAAGCAACTAAGAGGTGGCTCGGTCCAATAATTATCTAACACTTTTATTTGGTTCTGGAGCCATGGTCACTTTATCCTAGACCTAAGAATGAGGGTTTGGCTTTCTTGTGAAGGCACTTGCATTTTAGCCTTGTCTTCTGCCACCTCTTAGTTTGAAGAAGTGATTGATTTATTCATTGATTCATTGTTGACTTAACAGATGTATTCAGGGTGGGGGGGAAAGTAGGTTTACAGTTGCTCGGATCGAAAATTAATACAATAATTAATAAATAATGCAAGAATGAACTCTTATTTCATGAACTCATAACTATAAACCTACTTTTTCCCCACCCTATTGAGGATGTACAATATCCCAGACACCTAGATAGGTGAGGGAGATGTAGGAGTGATTTTTATGTCTTCACTAGAGGCCTGGTGCACAGATTCGTGCACCAGTGGGGGTCCCTCGGCCTGGCCTGTGGGGATTGACCGAAACCAGCAGTCCAACATCCCCCAAGGGATGTAGCAGTGCTCGAAGCAGGCTAGATCCTCTCCTCCGGGGAGGAGCCTGAGCCCAGGCCCTACTGCATCTGCCACCACTGCTCAGTAGACTCACTGCTGCTCCACTGTGGTCTCCCTTCTCTAGTCCTAGGGTGATACCAGTGCGCCCATGACCAAAGAGTGGCCACAGGCTCATGCCCAGTCAGTCATGATGCAGGTCCTGATCCCAGTCCCAGTCCAGATGGGGGAGGGGCGCACAGGGGGAGTGTCTGTGGGAGAGGCTTACGCCACTGCAGCTGCGCTTACCAGCCATGAGCCCGGCGTCTGGTGCCTATTGGTCAGCTGAACGGTGCTCTCGCTGTGGGAGTGCACTGACCACCAGGGAGCAGCTCCTACATTGAGTGTTTGCCCCTGGTGTCCAGTGCCATCATAGCTACCAGTCGACTGGTCAAATGGTCACTTAGGCTTTTATAGATAGACTAGTGGCCTGGTGCACGAAATTCGTGCAAGGGGGCGGGGGTGTCCCTCAGCCCAGCCTGCACCCTCTCCAATCTCGGACCCCTCGGGGGATGTCCTACTGCTGGTTTAGGGCAGTCAGACATCCCTCTTGCAATCCGGGACCACTGGCTCCTAACTGCTCACCTGCCTGCCTGCCTGATTGTGCCTAACCACTCTGCCTGCCAGCCTGCTTGTCCCCAACTAGCCCCCCCTGCTGGCCTTTTTGCCCCCAACTGCCACCCACT